AGTCAATTACAGCAGATGTTTACTGCAACCAACTGGGTGAAATGATGAGGATACTTGCAATTAAGCAGCCAAGTTTGGTCAATAGAGACAGGCCAATCTTCTTGCAAGACAACGCTCGACCACACGTCTCACAAACAATGCTGCTCAAACCTCAGAAGCTGGACTTGGAAACTGTCTGTCATCCACCGTATTCACCAGACCTTGCACCAACTGACTACCACTTCTTCCAGGCTTTGGACCACTTCTTGCAAGGAAATATATTCAATTCTCAAGAAGCCGTGGAAAATGCCTTTTGCGTTTCATTACCATTCACTCTCCAGGATTCTTTGCTGCTGGCATAAACAAGCTACCATTAAGATGGCAAAACTATGTCGATAGGATAGTTGAGGCACATACTTTGATTAATTGTACTGCTTCTTGCTTGAGACATAATAAATTACACTTTTGGTTTGAAATTGTACATTTCATATTTAATGACCTAGTAGGTGCCACCTCAAGGTAGTTAGAGTCTGGGACAGACAAGGAGTGGATTACCTGTTAATTTCATGACTAGTTCATGAAATGGGCATTTGGAGCATGTGACAGTGACAGGATCATTTTCCATCTGTGTCTATCGAGACATTGATTTTAAAGATTACGTAGGGCCCAGGTGTGGGATATACATAGAATGTCTTGGTAATGATTCTGCAGTTCAGTCTAGGCATGGAGCATGTGGGTCAGAGGAACAGATGAGAACTGTTCTTAACAACTTATTTCTGCCTTTATTTCGCCTAGGTTTAAAAGAAATTCTGGTGTTTTTCTCTGTTTCTGAACTATATCCGAAGGTCTAGTTTTCCATGCCCTTGAGTGCTGAAGTGTGGAAGCTGGAGAGGAACTCAACTCTGGCATCCTCACTGACTATGGGGGCTTGGGTCCAGTTCTTACGGTCTGAAGAGGAGGATAGTTTCTCCAACTTTGTGTGCAAAATCTTCCTCTGGAAATGTTTGTGAAAATTGCCAATTTCCTCTCCCTGCATACTGATTGGGAAGTGTTGAGTGAGGTCTAAGAATGTGCATTTTTAGAAATCGCCACACATCTTTCTGATGCAGAGGGCTCCCAGGAACACAATTTGAGAAACCCTGGGATATGGTTTAGTTTTTTGCTTGTAGCTTTTATTAACTCAGACATTGTTGAGGAATCAGTAGTAAGGCGAAATTTTCACCTGGGTCTGTACTCTTCTGTCACTATACCTAAGCTTAGGGGACAGAGCTTTCACCCTCCTACTGAAAATTTCTGAAAATGTTCTTTTAGAGCACAGCACTCAGAGAATCTAATGGCAATGGTTCTTCACCTTGGTTGAATATTATAATCCCCTGGGGCACTTTAAAAAATTCGAATGCCCAGGCTCCACCCTAGACCAGAATCAGGTCGGAATCTCTGAGGTGTGACTCAGCCAGCAGTGTTTAAAGGGCTCCAGGTTAAGTTCACTGAGAAGGTAAGGATGAGAATTACTTGCCTTTTGGGATTTAAACCTCATGTGTTCCAGATTCTTCTGCTGAAGATGACCTTTCCAACTCTGCCCCTTCTCTGCTCACCCACCCACGACTCCTCCCGCCCTCTGGTGACTGCTCTCCATGTTCCTGAAGTCCCCAGTGCAGCTTATTTGTCTGTGACTTGCTCTCACCTCATTACTCTACGACTATCCATCCATCTCACTTCTCCTGCCAGGCTGGGAGCACCGTGAGCTCCCAGGGCCTGGGTCAGGCTGACACCCAGTAAAGTTTATAAGACACCACAGAATCCATCTAAATGCAATGCAGTGGTTTGAGATGTTATTTTACTGATTTTATACGTGTCATTATATTCCTTTACTTAGGTATAGTTGGTTTGAAAGGAACTGTGACCAAGGCAATACTGTGAATAAACAGAAATTCACTACTTGCTAGTAAACTGCCTGTCAAAACAGCTAGACTAAGAAACTTGATTCAAATATAAAAGCCTTCAAACTCCTAAGGGAAAATGAGATTAATACTCGGTTTTGCCTTTGCACCTGAAAGGCAAGGAGATGAGATAGGAAGCAGTAGAGGTGACGGTGAAGACTGTGTATGCACTTGTGTGTGCACAGGTGTGTGCACATGCGCTTGTGTGTGTGCATGCCTAGCAAGTCAGCGGGTGTGTGTGTCTGTGTGTATCTAGGGATGTGGATCTGTTTCCTTCTGAATAAATACATCCTTTTATTAGAACACACACAGGGAATTTCAGACTCCAAAGTCTTTTCCCCAAATCCTCAATATGTTCTCCATTTCCCAGAAAATAACTATCGGTGCAAAAAGGATTGAAGAACATTTTAAATTGACATTTTATCCACCCGTGTATGTTTTATGAAACCCACTAGCAAGGAAATAACCTACATGATGCCTTACCTTGTTAGTTTGTCTAATTAGTATAAAATGCCTTGGAAAGAATTTCCAGTTGGCATTATTACTACATTCAACTACCCCTTTGAGAGTGTTCTCTTACAACGCATGGAAATGGATTATCTACCCTCATGCAATTAGTTACAAAGCAACTGGCATGTGTAATCAGGGGCCAGTATTCATGAATATAGAACATTTGTATTGCTCAGAGGTAGTTCCTGCAAGTCACCTCTTTGGCAACAGTTAATTTTTGCAATTAAGAACAGAGGGACTTTCCCTCTAAAACGTCTGTCTTCAGTGGAAACATTATACAAAATGATTTTGTGGGTGAAAACTTGTATTTTGCCCCATGCACTCTGATAAACCTACAGAATGCAGACATGGGGCACACACAGAAAACAGACTATGAGTTTCCATGAAATGTTGTGAGCTTTTTGATTGAAGGAGGAGGGGATCTGTGGAAGAATTATGACAAATAAGAACTTTCTGTAGCGTGAATCACATAAATTTGACTTCTGAATACAGATAATGTCTCCTCAGAAATTTCTGTGCAGGAGGTTGAAGTGCAACTCTGTTGATCGATACATATAACCCAAGGGCACTGTGTGCTCCTTTAAACATCCTTGGATCTATTTGGTCTTTCTTGCTCTAAACTTTGATTGGACCAGGAGCCTGAGGAGCAGAGGTGAGGGAGGCTGAACTCGGCCTCACTAGACTCTGAGCCATGTCAGAGTCAATTCACTTTAGTGATGCTTTTAACTTTGGACATTGTAAAGATCATTCTGGTCTTCTTAAGTTCTGACAGGGCAGAGAATTGCAAACACCGTTTTCCTTGAGTAACCAATGTATATGGCTGGGAATATTAAATAATGAAAATATCTAATATTAAACAAGTAGAAAATTTTCCTGGGGATATGCATCTGCATCTGCATCACCTAGAGAGCTTGCTGGCACACAGATCACTGGGCCCCACCCCAGAATCTCTGATTCTGTTGGTCTGGGTTGGGGCCTGAGAATCTGCATTCCTAAGAAGGTCCCAGGGGAGACTGATGCCGCCGGTCCAGGGACCATATTTTAAGAATCACGGGGCCAGGCGCGGTGGCTCACGCCTGTAATCCTAGCACTCTGGGAGGCCGAGGCGGGCGGATTGTTTGAGCTCAGGAGTTCGAAACCAGCCTGAGCAAGAGCGAGACCCCGTCTCTACTAAAAATACAAAGAAATTAATCGGACAACTATATAGAAAAAAAAAAAAAATTAGCCGGGCATGGTGGCGCATGCCTGTAGTCCCAGCTACTCGGAAGGCTGAGGCAGAAGGATCACTTGAGCCCAGGAGTTTGAGGTTGCTGTGAGCTAGGCTGACGCCACGGCACTCTAGCCCAGGCAAAAGAATGAGACTCTGTCTCAAAAAAAAAAAAAAAAAAAAAGAATCACGGGTGTGGGGCAGCACCAAGTACGACCAAACTCAGAGAGAAACTACTGGTTTGAAGAGAGGTATCAAGGGGTGGACTGGTGTCATAGCTGGGATTTGAGCCAGGGTTCTTCATAGTCTACCCCATCAAACTCTGGGATAGTGTGTGGGGGAAGAGAAGAATGGAGAGAGCAGGTAATATCAAGAGGAATTTGTTGGAAAACGTTTTCCTAATGGTTAGTAGGGAGAAAAAGACAATATATATTGGTAATTCCCTTTGGTAAAGTAATAGAACCAGATTAAATGCAGTTTTTCTTTTTTTCCCCCCTGAAATCTGCATCAGCTACATTGTAACGTATCAGAAATGGAATCTCCCAGAATACTGTGAGTTTTAGGGTGTTGGGCAGATGACTAAAGGAGCTATCCCACGTAAACGAGGACTCCAATCACTGACAGGTCTCAGGTGAGAACATGTCAGGGAGGTGAACGGCCAATCCCAGCACGAAGATACAGCAGGGATTGTTGGTGTGGTCCCTGATGGCGTGGGGAGGATGACAGATCTGCACACATGCCAATTTTGCCCTCGCCTCCCAGAAACTCTCAAACGCGCACCATCTTTGCCCTCATCCTTCGTTATCATCAAATAATATTTATCGTGTTTACTCATGTGCGTGGCCCTGTCTTCTTCCATTCTGCTCAAATTTTCTTCCTCACTTCCTTTTCTCTTCCTGGCGTGTTCTCTATCTACTGATTTTTTCCCTCTGGCTGCCGACTGTGAATATCGTCCCCACCCACTCTATCGAGGACTGGCTTTTTCAGAAATGGCATCCACCTGGAGCTACGGCATGCCCTGACTTGGTTTTTCTCATCTCATCCATAGGGATCATGCTTACTGGACAGAAGGCATTTATCATACAGTGAAGTACACCCCAGCTGTGGCCCAAGAGTATTAAACAATAACCAAAGGGAGCATACAGATCCCTGTACAGGGAATTAGGGAAGGAAGGATGCAGACACGTGCACACACACACACGCGCACACACACACTCTGATCCTTCCTTTCCAATGTCCACATGTTGACAACTTTCCTTTGCTCTAATGTTCTGTGAAGGCTGGTAACGCGTGTGCACTAAGATTTGATTAAGGGTACCCTAACTAGTCCATCCTCTGATCAGGAGCCTCTCCATCCTTCTTACCTCATCAAGACATCTCTCATACTGTTCCCTTTGATTTTCATTTTCCAAAGCCAAGGCTGAGTTCTCTGCCTGCAGTAAGATACAAAAATAGCACAAATAAATCAATGAAATGTTGTGTTACGTGACAACTCATTCAATACAGTTACTAAATATATCTCCTCAGGATCTAAAACAATCTTTTAGAAGTACCTTTGACAAGTTTGCTCTAAGTACTATTATAAATATCTCAGGGATGACTTCTGTCTTATCCACTTGCTCACCAGAATACATTACAGTTTAAAGAAACGCAAAACTTGATATTCTGAACAGGTCGAAAATCAAATCATGGCTTGATGTGAGAATGTTCTGTAAAAAGATTACAATGTTTATTTCATTCTATGAAAATGTAAATGTAAGAAATGCCTTAATCCACTTCATTAAGATGTGTGACAGTTTCACAGCCTAATATTTGTTTAGGCCACAGAAAAATATCGCAGGTAAAGTCCTGAAAGTACAATTCCACATGCAAACTAAATATGTTATTTTCATTGTTAATCAATGACTTTTGAGCATAAGAAGATAATAAGAAATGTAAGACTTGAACTGTACTCAAGTATCCCTCTCACCACTCCCCCTTTTTAAAAATTACTGCTTTCATACTCCTCAGAGCCATGTGGGTATGTGAATATTGAATATGGTTACTAGGTTACTCTGCTGAATAGCAAGGGGGAAATAAAAGCAATCAGTGTAAGCACAGCAGGTTTTAGAGGGAGCATGAAATGGTGGCGTGGGAACTTCCTTCCTATCTGTTGACCTGGTTCCGCTGAAGCTACTCTGGGCTCCTGTCTGAATCCTGAACCATGCAAGGTAACCCCTTCCAGCCCTGTGCCAAGGACCACCCGGCCCCACCCTCGAGCACATTTGGCTCCACCTACCCCTTCCCTATAACTCCCCTTGACATTTGGAAGTGGGAGTACAGTGCTCCAAACCAGTATTTTCAAAGGCACAGTATGATTTTTAGGTGGTACACAGATGAACTTTTTTTTTTCTTAATTTCTCCCCTCAGGTTTTTAAACTTTTTATTTGGAAATAATTTTAAACTTACAATTTGTAAGAATAGTATAAAGAACTCCCACATACCCTTTCTTTAGGTTCACTAATTGGTAACATTTTGCCACATCTGCCATTCTCTTTCCCACTCAAACTGTGTCCCTGCACCTCAAGAGTAACCTGCAGACAAGATGCCTTTTATCCCTAAATATGTCCCCGTGTATTTCTGAATAACAAAGACGTTCTCGTATACAACCACAGTATAGTTGTCTATTTTAGAAAATACAACACTCATATAGTACCACAAGCCGATCTACAGTCCTCATTCCAATTTCATCAACTGTCCCAGTAATGTCCTTTACAGCAAATTTTTTCTAGTCCACAATTGTATCCACGATCATGCACTGCATTCAATTGTCACTGTCGTTCATCTGCCATCCTTTAATCCGTTATTTTGTCTTTTTATATTATTGATTTCCTTCTTCCCTTCCCCTTCCCCTCCTTTTGTTTTTTTTCCTCTCCTTTTTGTTCCTTTCCTTTCTGAGGAGAAGCCAGTTATTTTGTAGAACGTCCCTTAATTTGGGTTTATCTGAAGCTCCCTCATGCACATCTGGCAGGAACAGCACAGCAGCAAAGCCGGGCCTTTCTGGTGCATGGTACCAGTCACGTGGTGCACACGCATCCCGATGCTGGGCATGGTAACCTTCGTCATTTGGTTAAGGTGGGGTCTGCCACTTCTCTCCCCTGAAAAGTTACTGTCTCTCCTCCTGTAATTAATAAGTAATTTGTGGGGAGATATTTTGAGACTATGAAAATACCCTATTGCTCATCGAACTTTCACCCAACTATTTTAGCCACCATTGAAGATTCCCTTGCTTGAATCAATGATTACCTGGATTACAAATGGTGATTTCTAACTCCATTATTCTATCTACATCTAGGAGTTTACATTCTATCACAAGGCAGTGCTTCTCCTATGTATTTATCAAGACACATATAGAGATTTTTATATTACAGGGTTCTGAGTCATTACTATCAATATTAATTGTGATGTTCAAACTGCAATCGCCCCAGCTGTGGGCAGGCGAGCTCTTTTATGCTGGTGGTGTCTGTGTCCTTCTGACATGTATCTGTCATTTTTAAAACACTTTCTTTTTTGGCACAGGGAGATGTTCCAAGCCCATCTTGCTCTTTCCTCACCCTATGTGTGAAATCAGCCATTTCTCCAAGGAATCTTACTTCCTTTCAGTTGGGAAATGCTATTTAGAAACCAAGATCTGGGTTTTAACATGTGCTAATTGCTCCTGAGGAGTCACTGTTTCTAGTTCCTCTCACTGGAAGGATTTCTCTCTCCGCCCTCCACGTGCACATGCATAGACGCACACACACACACTCACCCCTGCACACCCCTCCCATACCCCGCCAAATTCATGCTTGCCCTCCTCTTTTCATATTTGTATCTTCCTTTTTGTACGGTGAGAACACATAGGCTCCCAACACCATTGTATTTACTGGTTTGTTCGATCCCACCATGTGTACAAACTTCTTCTACTACAAAAAACAGTACCAGGAGGAGTTCTCATTTTTTCCTTAGAATGAAGGTACATAGTAAAAATACTGTGTTCAAACGCGACTAGATTGGTTCTTCCCCTCCCTCCCCCTTAGTGTGGTTATGTTATTCATTTGAGATTCAGTTCAGTTCATTTTTTCTGATAATATTGAAATTTAATTTCCTCTCTTCTTGACTTCATTTTACTTTTTTGAATATGTGAAACATTAATCTGATTCCAAAAGTCGAACTATACTCAAAGGTACCCTCTCCGTGAGGTGTCCCTCCCTCTCCTACCCCGTTCCCGTCCTCCTCTTGCAGCTTAATAGTGTCACTACCTGCTTTTCCGTCTCCCTGCATTTGTTACTCTCTAGTTAAAATCCTGTCCTTTGACTCCCTCTTTTACATGTGCAACGATCACCTTTTCCTCTTTTTGTCCTTTTCCCTACCATTTTCTCAGGTGCATTCTTTCTGTTTTATCAGAGCATATCATGCACAGACTGGCTTCTTCTACCCTGTCTCTACCCTTGTTTTAGCCTCTTTAATAGATGATGGTTAGGGAGGTTGCCCTGTATTCTCTTTTATTTCTACAGCATTTTGAAATCTCCCTTCCTCTTCTTCCCCTTCACCACCACATCTCCACATGGTGCCGCCTCTTCTCCCTTCACCTCCATCTCCCCAGGCATGTCGCTGCTCTGACACAGCCACCTGGGGTCCTCACACTTTCCAGCCCTGCCCTACAGCCAGTGCTGGAACTGTCACATGGCCCCCTGCGGTCAGTGTTGGCCACATGGCCTCGGGCTTTCTCATTCCAGGTGTGCTTTCCTTGGTGTCCTCTGCTCCCACTGGTGTTTATTTTTCTCCTTAAAGTAGTTTGAAATTCAAGTACTCTCTGTTTTTGATAATGCAAAGGGCATGGGTTTTGTGTGGTTTAATTTGTGTTTCCTGGTGATTGAATGTTTTCTTTGGCAGATGCATGAGCAGTTTCAAATGTAGGCCAGTTTGTTACTTTAGTCAACAGTGAAACTCAGGAGAAGTGATTGAACCAGGACGGGACACAAAATTGAGGAAAACTGCTGGGAAAGACTGTTTGAAAGTGCTCTTGCCGTCTTGCTCAAGGTCAGATCATTTCGACCTAGTCACAGCTCAAGTCTCAGGACTTCTCAAACACCACGTGTTCTTCAGGTTTCAGTTGTAATCCATCCTCAGTTTCGACCTCATTCTGCTGGGCCTGAATCCTTGTTTGTGCAACCGCCCCCAACCCTCCGGTCCCTCGGGTGGGATCCTGCCACATTCTTTCAGTTCTCACCGTGGACAGACACCTGCCACGTAGCCAACTTCTTCTGCCCCTGGGCTGATATCTATTTGGACTTCTTAAGTACAGTTATTTGTTATCCCCAGACTATTTCTTCTTTTTATTCCCTATTCAAACTAAACGGACTTATTGCTGTCTCCTTCAGAGATTGCTTCTGGCCAGTCACACCGACCCTTCTCTGTTCCTGCAGCTGGTGGGACCCCTCAGCTCCCCCCAAGCCCAGGCGGAGGGCAGATTCAGGTTCCAGTTCTACTCTGTTACAGTTTTTACTGGGCAATGTTGGCTTGTGTAATCTTGAGAAAATCATTTAAGTTTGCTGGGTTTACAGTTCTTTAGTTAATAAATGAAGAGACCAAACTAGCCAATCTACAAAGTGACTTCCAGTTCAAATATTTAAATACCATGAATCACAGGGGAAAATGCTAGAATTCCGATTCTACGAAGTCATTGATTTCTTTGGAGAAATTTAGCTTTTGTGGGGTCTGCTGGTGTTAGTAAGGCAAGACCACAAAGGATAATGGGAAGAGATAAAGCAGAGAATGGCAATGGCAGTTTATGTTGTTTTCACTTTAAATGTCTTGGAAAAAATGTGTAAGGAAATAAAGCTGAAAATGGGAATTTATATGGGATGTCTATATCTTGCTCCTACCCACAACATCACGTTGCAATAACACTACAATCGATCTATTCAGATAATTACCGTCATTATACCGTTTACATTACTTGCCTCACGTTTACTGCTCTGACAATCTATTACAGCCAAGCAAATTAAATACCTAACGGGAGCTGATGAAGACACAATAGTCACATTTCTGGTTACTGTGTTCAGTTACAGAGACCAATTTAATTGGTGTAATCCTACGTATCCCAGGGGACAACAAAGATATTAACAATTACGCCACCGAAGTTAAAATAATCTTGAACTCATGATTTTCTTTAATCCATTTGCATTTATTAGAGATTCAGGATTAACCTGCTACCAACATAAGACAACAAGGGGAAAAAACAGAAAGTATAATCTCTTAATTAAATGTGATTTAAAGAAACACTGAATATTTGTACAGCAGGAATGCGAAAGGATAAGGCAGAGAGGGATAAGAAAGAGAAAATGTAGGTGTAAGAATTACAGAGATTACAACATAGGTCCTTTTCCATGTTAAGTAAGTATGTTATTAA